AGACTAACTCTGATGTCTCTTTCTCGAAAGAATACCATTATAACCGAAAGTTGTCCCATCATGTGTACCTCAAGTTTAATCAATTATTATTCGATGGTGGATCAAGTCGTCTGACAAAAAATGTAATGTATTGAGAATAGTTTCCGAGTAGAAAGCGATTGAAATAAAAAAGTACGTTTGGTTTTCGAATGTGTTCTTGAAAATCCTGCGTTCTGATTCTAATTTAAAAAAAAAGAACCGTAAACACTGTAAAACTGTTGAAAATCAGTTTTCGACATCTCCTATTTCGTTTATATTTTACTGAACCAGTTTCGGCTGCATTTTCTTTGAACTCAACAATTATTTCAACAACATTATTGTAGGAAATAAGCAAATCAAATGGATAATCGAGTTTGTGAGCAGGCCCTGCGAGGAAATCATCCTATTAAAGAGAGACGTATTGCATGGGACCGATTGAAGAACTTTTTCAAAAACAATCAACACCAGTCAATAGGTTAGCCCAATTAATCTGAGCGGCAAGAAATCTATTTCGTATATCAATCAATAAATGATTTTCATGGTCAAATAGGATAGAAGCATAAAAGCTTGTTGACCGAGATTCTTTCTTTCTAGTGATTTTTTGCGTTTGATAGACAGCGAGTATTTATTAACTAGAGACACAATTGACAGAGGCAATCTAGGCAACTCTGGCCAATCAAAGAATCATGTTCTTCAAGCAAAAAGATGAAAAGATTTTGTCTAGATAAATATGGCAACATGTGTGATGCGCACAAACGAATCTAGTTCTAACACACTGTTCGACTCATGATCTCTTGCTCTGACGTGAGTTCCTTCTCAAAATACATTTACTCGTAGCAATCAGCTCCAATATCTATGTCAAATAATTGTCCATAGAAGTAAATATAATGACGAAGACTTTGCTCATTTCCGAGTTTGGATGTGAGTGTTCTCTTCTGTTCATTTACATTCACACCTACACCCATGAATAGGCTAGAATTAGAACCGTCTATTGTATATAAGAATCCAATTATTTCAGAGTAAAAATGAGATTTACTTTATCTAAGGTTTTGGCTAAGTACTGCAGAGAATTCATGAAAATCTTGCCGTTGTTTGATATCTGAAAGAGTGTCAATAAGTTGTTGAAGTTTCCTTACTCAAAACCTGGAAAAGAACTTGCTTTTTAAACTTCTACATTAAGTTGTTTTACATATCTTAGCCTCGGTACTTACTCAAGAGCTTCCTTATGAGAAGTTTGTCTAAGAATAAGACAATCGAAATATCATCAGCGGTATTGCTATGGAGTGATCCGCTTTCGCTTTCGCTAAGTTCAACGTCTTTACTATATAATGTAGTCGAAATCACTTGACTGTTGTAAAAGTGTATTCGATTTTTGTTGAAATATTTCTGTCATTCTCAATCAAAGATCCCTAACAAATAAAATAACCAAAAGTGTACATGTTCTAATATATTGAATTGTTAATGCTTGAAAAACAATTTTTGATAGTATGAAAGAAAGAATCTACTGAACCGATTAAGAACATGTGATTGAACTTATTTTAGAAAGTACATGGTGAAGTTAGAAGCACAAATGTAGAAAAAAGCAGTGACATGACTATAGACAATCGTACCTTTTTCTTTATAAAGATGCCGGTAGTTTGGTCTCGATCAATCATACAAAATGAAAATCATTTTTTTTAAGTGAGGTCATTATAATTTAATTTTTGTCGTAAGGCTGATGAGTAAGTAAATGTCCTGTTCTTTTTGTGAAAAGTAACTAAAGAATAGTAGAGCTAGTACTTTTTTCAAAAAGATGCAAGCTAGCGTTATTTAGTTGGAGGAAAAGAAAAAAAAAATTATATCTGTTTTCTTTCTTGAGAATATCGGCTAATACGCAAACATACTCTCGTATTGGGTGTGGGATGTGCGAGTTCCAAATTGCGTTAAATCGATGAAACACGTGCGATGCATATACAACTAAATTACCATCACTCTGCATGACAGCGTAATAGGCTTTATTGTTTGAAACAATGTATTTATTTTCTTTGAGTACTTCTCCACTCCGTAAGTTACTTTTCAATTGATCATCAGCAAATATTATGATAGTATTCCAAACACAAAATAAAATAACCGTGTATTGAAACATTGTTCCGCAGGAAGTATATAGATAGACAACGCTTGCTGTTTGGTTTTACTGTTCAGAGTCTCGTTCGATTTTTCACTCCAGAAATTTCGGCGAGAAGTTAAAATAATTCTGCTGTTTTCTAAAATAATGAAGGCAAATGACAATGTGACATATCTTGCATTTTGTGAAACACGATTCTACATGAGTGTTGAACTACATAGTAAGAATAGCAAGTCACCATTCTGCCTGTTATACAGGCCGTGACAGATAGATGGACAGAATGGATGTGAAATTCTAGCATGGCAGAACGTGAGAGACATTTCGATAGGTTAGTCTGCCTGATCTTCACGGATAATGTGATCAATATGAGTAGGGCACTCCTCAAGATGTGCAACAAATTGATCATGTTCCACATTTTAATCCCATAGAAATTACACTGAAAGTGTTTTTACCATCATGTTGCATATACGCTTGTCATCTATGAAAATATTCAAATATTCATATGACCAATAACATTATAAAGGGCTAAATCACTTGATCGTTTCTATCACAGTTTATGCGCAGCTTTTATGCTACATTAAATCGTTTTCTAACGAAGTACGGCACTAGACATGAATAGTTTCAGCATGTGTACCTGATATATGTCACAAAAAATTGAGTCAATATCCTTTGCATGAGCAGTCAGTTGTTTATTCCAAGAAATAATGAGCCATGCGAATGTGAATGTGATTATCGATGTCGGTCAAATTCTCTATTTGACCAGATCTACGGCCATAGTGCATTTCATTTGTTTGTAAAGCTGTTTGATAATCGCACAACACCTAAGGAATGCAGAAAATAGCTTTGTAGGACCTTTAAGTTTGTATCTTATTTTATCTCTCTGTACGACATGTGGTAATAATATTTTGTATGTAGCTTGTAGAGAATTGCAAGAAGAATCCTTTTGGTGAAAGCTACAAGGTTGTTCAACGAAAACTTACGGAAAAAGAATTCTTCAGAAATAAAGGCTATGTTACTAATTCTGGAACACTCTCTACATTCCTTGTTCAGTTTATGATCTCTCTTCTTTTTGATGCACCTTTTCAAGTTGTGCTTTTACTTGTTTGAAATAGATTTTTTCTTCGTTCTGTCCGATGTTTAATTTAATAATCTTTCCAGGCAGCAATATAGTAGTACCGTTAAATCAAGTGACTATTATCAAGTGGTATAAACTATTATTTGCATAATCGTTATCAGGCTTGAAATTTTGCGCAAAGAACGGCAGAGACAGAAAGAGAACCCATGCGTTTGTTAATTTTGGTGAGAAGTGTCGTTTGCTCACCTGCTCTCTGCATTCTGTATATGTTTTAAGCCTCTATACACAGGCAGAGAGAATACCAGTCTGTAATCACAACATTGATTTGAAAAATGGGTACTACTATAGTAATTGCTCTACCCTTTTTAATCATCTCTGTGATACAGTTGACATAGAGTCAGATCAGTTAGAAGACCAAAACGTCTCGTTTGGTCTTGAGTTTGACGAGAAGAATTTTGTCCATAAAATAACAGTTTTCTATTCGTCTTATATCATAAAATATCGATCCAGGGATACATACTGCTTCCAACTCAAATTGACTAATTCAAAAATCAGCAATTCTAATAGCAAATCTCGTTTCGATTGTGCATTTGTACGTACAGTTGTTGATTCATACAATCATAACACATCGGTTACAAGTATTCTTGTACACAATGGTCCCTGTTTTCTTTCGTGCTGATGACGTTTATTGCTATCTCTATCATTTATTTGTGCTCCTCCAAAGTTCTTTGGCAAGATCGTTCATTGACGTTCACACGAACGTGGAATATGAGTATTTCTGATGAGTGTCGATCACTGATTATATGAGAGTTTATTCAGTCGACGTTAAGATTAGGTAATAGCTTGCCATTGTACTTGGGCAGACGTCGAAATCAATTCAATATGTCAAGAAGAGAGCAAAATTATTCGGGCTGAACCTACCAAGTCATTTTGGCAAGCAAGAAAAAGTTCATTTAATTATATGGTCAATATTTTTCAGACAGGTGTGTGACACCGTCAAAGAGACTCAGAAACAAAGTCGACCTATGAACGCAGCTGTCACCAGCCAAAAAATCACTTATAAGGCTTTTTCTTGCAGTGTGACGAGTTATGAAGAAGAAATGCACAAATATTGCACCACCGTTGATATACCTATTGGCACACAGGTCAATAATGATTGCTTTTTACCTCTGATACACCATCTATCCTGTATTACTAGTCATTGTTTTCGATGCGAATAGCATTAAGAACCAGCTTTATTGAAGAGAACAAATTTTTTCAGCAAAATTATTTAGAAAACTGAGCATTTTCTAGTCTAACTTCGATGAAAAAACGAAAAATATTGCATGTCTAACGATAGGACAAGAATTGTGCTGCTCAGACACACCGATATCTCGTACACCTGATGATTTTTCTCGTAGATCTGCATTCTTCTTCAGTTGTGGCTAAATGTGACTCTTGTGAAATTCTCTTCCCATTTCAGAACCATCAAAAACACAACAAAATAAAATTTTATTCTAATGTGGTTTCAATGGGAAATACAAAGAGTAAGAAGTTTTGTCGAGATTGTTTTACAAATGCATAGTTTTGAAATTGAACGTATATTCTAATGAGTGCTCTTTAAATATAGATATTGATGTTTTTTGTAACTCTCTGTGTCTTTTTAAATCAGCAAAGCGAGTCTCCATAGTATGATCTATCAAATGAAAAGAAAAAGAATCTATTTCTTCGCCTTTGCTAAGCTATATTGAATGATATAAAAAAGTTTTAATGAGATAAAAAACTCTCATCAACAGTGTTGTTTCGAAGAGTCGCTTCACAAAATTAAATGGACATTGACATATCCATTGAATATTGATCATCACCATTGCTCATCCATTGAACTTCTGGATCGTTCACTTTTAAAGCTGTTGTAATCACACTGATGATCATCAAAAAGAACATAATACCGATCAGTCCATAGGAGATGAAAGCTAATATTAGAGCGAACTTTCTTAGTCGCTCTACCAAAACTGTTCTCTTGCGATTCATATTGAGAACATGATTGACTTCATTCAAAAAGTCCCAGAAGACTGTACCAGGCGATACATTTTGTTGGCTAAAATAATAGAGAAGATTTTGTACAGCCATCGGTTCATCGCCCAGACGATCATAGATTAGAGCATCGGTTGGTTTGATATGTCTTGTATCGTATGTCTTAGCATGTTTATCATCGATAGCCAAAACGAATTGTTTAACAGCATGAAAATTTGTTTCTTGATCAATACGCTGTATTTCATCTTGAGCTCGTTTGAGTTCACGTATCATTTGTAATCCCAAATAAAAGTCTGGCAGTTTATTCTGTTCACCATGATCATTATAACTCATAAATCGAATGCGATGTAAATTTCGACGAACAATTAACCATTTTGAATAAGGTTTGAGTGAGTATGCTGTAAGCGGTGCTTCATAATCGCATTCAAAAGCGCGTCGTGATTGTGGCTGAAAATTATTTGCCGAAATCGATGTTGCTACTGATTTAGTACTTTCAGAGATTTGAGCTGCATGACAACAATTTGATTGATTCTTATCATCATTGCACAAATTAACGATTACTCGAGTTTCATGTTCTTGTTTCTGAGGACGTACGAGACGTGTACGAACAGACAGAGCCATTTATTGGATTGCCATAGGCTTCTACTTATCAATGTCAATACATATATATGTATGCATATATAAAGATTATGTACACACGAGTAATCTTTCGTGTCCAATGTTATTTCAGATTAATATGACTGTTGGAACAACTCAAGCTGATACACATACGAGCCAATTGGAACAGTTTAATTAGAATATAGTAATTTTTTTCTTTCAACTAACACATTTCGTGTAACGAATCAAGTTGAAACAGCTTACTATTGTATTCCATAAAGATGTCGAGCGGGCTGATCAGAAATCGATAAAATGCAATTGACTCGATACGAATATGTTTGAATCTTAGTTTTGAAGTATCAGTGTGATTGTGTGATACTCTCTTCAAACATCCACTTCTATATCCTTTGCTTGAGTGTCCATCTTTTCAACCTTAACTAATCCTGCGAGTAAATATATATTTTAATTAGGCGATCTTTCATCAGTCTTACTAATTTTTTCGTGTGAAGGGTTTTATGTTTTGCTTTATAATCGATCATTGATAACAGTTCAACGAGGCAGAAACTATTCTTACACAATCTTGAAATTTCAGCAGTAATTGATTTTCGATTGTTTCTAAAAAAAACACCATTTTTTTAGTCGAGCATGGTAAGATTCCACTGTTCATCGGACTTTCGTGACTAATCGAGTTTTACTTGCTTCCTTCGTGTTTTTTTTTGTATTTGCCCTTTAAGTGAATAAATATGCATTTGGGGTTTGTAATCTACATCAGAAAATACTTATAGAACATTCGTAAAACATCGATCAACTATCATCACATTGTCATAGTCGCACCATTTTACAAGTTTAGTTTTCGTTTTTGCTATAAAAATCGCAATGGTAGCTTTATTGTCAATTCCATTAAACAGTCGTAAACTGCCTAAACAATAGTCATATGACAGATATAAATTTAACAAGATGACGCCTTTTCTCTTCTGAATGTGTAGATCGTTGAAATTTGTGTCAGCTGCCTTTTTATGTGTAAAAAATAAATACCGTCCTTTATAACTGTCATATTCTTTTCAAATAACTTGTTGAAAAACGAAGTATTGCGATTGGTTGCTTCCGAACATGACAAATAACCAACTCGTGAATATTACAGTACCAATTCATCTAATAAGATTCGGCGAAAGCGATTCAAAACTTCTTGCTGCCATTTTTCAACAATATTAGCCATCACCATTAATATTGAATAGAGAATCGAATTGTTTTTAAGACGAATTAGTCTTGAGTTTTGTCCTGAACATTCCTAAAGTATTTTTAGCTTCACAGATACAACATGTTCGAATTGTTGTTTATTACATTCAGTTCATGCTAAACAATCTTTATTTGTTTTACAAGGAGGCATAAACACTAATCGTGGTGCTGAAGATACCTTTTTGTAATGAACATAAAAGGTCATCAAACAATAGCAAAAGTATAAACACTTGTAAGATGGCTATTGATATTTTTCAACTATCCATATTCATTTCCATGCCTGACAATCATTAATTGTTTCATAAATGGGGAGTACAGCTTCGAATCCCGCGAGGAACATACATTCGTTTCAGTACTAAAGGATCCAATCTTGCTGTTTTTGGCATCACGAATGAACCGGTATATGCTTCAAATCGACAAATAACACATTTTTTGTCACGAGAGCATGCAAAAATGACATTTTCAATCGTTAATGAATATTTGTCTTCATTGACATCAATATTCATGTCTTCAATATTGTTGTTATTGTTCTTTTTTCATCTCAAGTTTCGCATATTTTTTCTTCGATTACTTAAATTCAACCAGTATTTATTGCATAAATAACAACTTTCATGAGTATTGAATGACAGTGCTTCTGACTATAATAATGAATACCACCATGCATGAGTTTTAGAGATTATCTTTTTAATATCTTTCAATTTTGTACAATGAATATATTGTTTACTCGGCATTTGCAGTAATTTGTTTGCTTATTTTCAAGTAACTATTAATAACAAAACGTAAACGACTAGAAGAAAAAACCTATGCAGAAATAAAGAGGATAAACAATTTGAAAAAATCAAAAACAGACCAAACTAAAAAATGAAAACAAACAAAAACCGAGGTAAATGTGCTAAAATGAAGAAAATAGTTCTGAAAAGAACTGACGCCTTCTATTTCCGTGATAACTCAACGATCTTTGCTGATTAATATTTAGTAGTTTATCACAAAGAGACATAAGCGCTTGAGAACTTTCAAGCAGAGTAATTTAAACATCGGACGACAAAGATCATGTCAACAAGCGTGAAACATGGCATTATATATTTTTTTGTAGATCTCTCGCAGACTGTCTACTATAAACGATAGAATGGGTTATAACTGCAGTCAGAACAGATGGTTTTGAGCTTGTTACAAAGCCTAATTAGCGGACATTGTAAAAGATATGGTATTGATTATCTTAAAAAGACGGATTCAAATCAAACAAAAGCCAAAAATTTCAGTTGTTTACCACATATCTATTGAAATTCTTCAGAAAACTGCTGACTCGAATATTCTTTGTTTTTAAACTAATGGTGTAGGACGTCTAATTAAATAGAAGACGAATTTCATTCATCTACGATAAACACGTAGTTATTTTTGGCTTTCAAACAACACAAATAGAATGCTTTTGAATGAACTGTTTAGATATATATGCATACAGGGTGTAACGTAACCATTACGCCCCCCTCTGCAACATAAAGTAGAAATAATATCCCAAAAGTGTTTTATACCAAATTAAAGCCCGTCAAAAACTGGATCTATTGACGTAATTAGAGTAACGCTTGCCTATGAAAAGTGTAATTAAAAAAAGCAAAAATCGCAATATACGAGTCAGTTGGACAGAAAACGACACAGATTTTACAACATCGGGCCTATAAAAGAACCATTACTACCCTTATTGAGTAAAATTGTGCATGATAGGCTTCTTAGTTTATTAGAAACACAAACTTCTTAGAAATGTACAGGGTGGAAAATAATATTATTCAAGGGGGGTACCGATATAATTTCAAACAAAAGACGTAATGAATTTTATATCAAATGAAAGCTCGTCAAAAATGGAGTTTATTGGTACTAAATAGTAAAGGTTATGAAAACCTTTTAATGTTGAACTTAAGAAATTTTCGTAGTAGCAGAGCAGCAGAGCACGACAGAACAGAACAATTCGTCCTGTGTTCACGTTCGATATGCACCAAAGCATTACAATGGGAATTTTCATTTTATTAGAACATATACAGTTCAAAAACAAAGTAATATAATTATTAATTAATTCGATAGAAATAGAGAATAAGTTTTNTCTACCATTTGTCGACGCGAGGAGTCAGATAAAGCGATAAAAAGCTATGATTTCTGGGCTAAAGGTCGAGAAAAACGCAGGTTTTCGTTAACGCAATTAAAACTGATTAAAATTCAAGGAATCTGATTAAAATTTGATGAAAATCGTCTCATTTTAATCGATTTTTAATCACAAAAAAATCGATTAAAATCCCGTTTTTTCTTGATTTATTTTTACATGGGAAAGATAATAATTTTTTTGGAAATGCTTTGCATTTTTCTCAAAACGAGTTTTTTATTTTTTCCTACTCGTGCGTCACAGATTTCTCAGCTATTTTACATGCTAAAAAGTTGAGAAAGGTCTTAAATTGGAGAGAAAATTGTGCTTTACAACTTAACAGAGCCGGAGTTTTAATTTTTGACTTAATTTTTAAAAAAAGTGGGTAATTTTCATACGCGTACCCGCTATTTTTTCGGATTTTTTGAGAAAAACTGCCACCAAAAGTAACAACGAAGAATTTGAAAAATCGGGCTCTGTTAAGTTGTAATGGTAGGTGTTGGCTACATTTTGATGCCAATCCCAGATCCGTATCATTAAATTTGGAGGAGAAATCTGTGACAGGCGGGGATCTACTTTTTAATCCTTATTATATGGATAACTCTTGAATAGCTTAATATTTTGGGCTGAAATTTTTATTATAAGCTTTCTAGGCTCAAGCACACATCTCCTGAAAATTTCAGCGAGATCGGTTGTTCCTGGGCAAAAATAGATTTTTGACATGGGGGTCGGCCTTAATACGACGTGGATGAATATTGTACATTTTTGGTGGTGCTGGTGCCCATAAACGAATTAAATATGGATCATGAGAAAGAGCTGAATTGCCTTCGATTTTTGGTTGAACTCGTTGAGCAGCACGATGCTGTCATATATTAAGATTAGTATCTAATGACACTAAACCATTATAAGGAATTGATAGAATACCGAATTGAACACGGCATGAACTAAAAGACAATAATTCATTTAACGCATTAGTTGACTATACAAATTATTTTTAAAACGAAAAATCAGTGTTATTATGAGAAATTGCATTGACAGATGTCAACTTACGATTTTTTGCTCTTCTTCTTTTTGTTTTTGTTCTTCTTCTTCATCTTCTTCAATTATTTTTTTATTTGGAAAATTTGATAATTGTCCATGTGTATGATAAGTTGACGAAACCGACAATTGATGTCGAAATCGAGCTCATTAATGATATACACGTATAATGCAATGGTACTTCGTCTCAATGGTCAGCGGTGCTTGGATTGTTATCACATTTCTTCTTCCTGTTCTTAATTGTCCGCCTGGATAGCTATATATTCGCCGAAAACCTGCTCATGTACGAATGTCGATGATGCATTTCTTAATGACAACAACTTTTTGTTGTCTTCCTTGTACTGAGTTTCCTATAGTTATTGAAGAATTCACCGAGAACATCAATAAAAGATGTATTGTAATTCAATGAGACTTATTTCCTTTTTTCTGAGGGGAATAAATAATGTGATTTATGAATTTTTAGGTAAGATGAAAATGGAATATTTTGCAATGCGACAAGGTGGTACCCATATTAATAGTACTATCGTAAGTCACGACAATATACAGTTCCTTGTCTTTGTTTGAATCACCAGCAATAATTGATTTTTGATAAGAAAAAACCTCTTGCTTACTTTTTTTCGTATGGTGTCTCGACAACGATGCTGTCTTTGTCGAATAGTGGAAGATAATCACAGTATAAGTGTATAATTACGTACATTAAATTCAATTTCTTACTCTTTCTCTCCTTCCTTGTATACAATATTTCTTAATACTAGAATGGCAAAAAGGTAAATTTGAAGATGTTGGTGGATTTACTGTTTGTTTGCTCTTGCCTATATTGTATTTCTAAGTCTAATCGTAACAGATTATGCATTGTGTCTCAATTCGAGTTTTACAATTTCCTTTAAACTCTGTCCCAATGATCATCGATCGTTCAAGAACTATTTTAAAGTTCTCCAATCAGCCTGCAGCGTCGTCATGAAACAATGTTTTCTTTTTTAAGGTCTACTTAGAAGGATAAATCTATGAATGACCATCATTGTAGGAGTAGAATTACCGTCTGACAACGAACAAATATTTTTTACATGAAAACTTTCAAGATTTTCGAGATCTATCTTCTTGAAGTGGAACACATGCGAAGTTCTGTGATAGTATTCTTTATACATCGCTGAAAAATCAAGTGAATGGTACCCAACTCAACAGAAACAGTTGAAGTAATATGGAGATATGGTCGAATGATATGGTGAGCTAGTCAAATCATTTTGAAAATAACAGAAAAGAATTTATCATAGTTAACATTAATATGAATGTATGAGCGTCTTGCTAGTATTTGAGCCCTACACAGGTTTATGTTAAAGATGCATTTTTTCGACTGTCTACAATATATCTGAAATTTATTGAGGAACCCCAAAATATTCAATGCAAGTACGGACAACCAGTATGAATACGTATCTGAAACTGGTAAGTGGGTGTAGAGTAGGACTGTTGTTGTGTGAGAGGTTTTCTCTTTACATCACCATACATCCACACTCACACTTTCACAAAAAAACTTTTGTTCAGGAATCAAGATCAAGAATTCAATAAAATAATCTCAAAGAAACAATCTTACTATGTTCCATTCTATGTAGTGTCATCTATCAATTCGAATGTGACGCCTTGCCAGAATTTTAAATTCATTACTAAGAACAGAGAATGAAAGAGTGTATATATCTGCATAATCGAAGAGTACTTTTAGGGTACGTATTTTGGAAATTATAAGAATACTGCTACTACAGGAGTTGGAAGATAGAGATTTTTTGTCACCAATCAGTCATGGCATTTCAAAAAGATATTTATTTTCAACTGATATTAGACATCAATTTATTTATGTTTGGATTTTACAGGATATATTGTATTGTCAGTTCATTTTGTTGTCTTATTGTTTCTTGTGAAAATATGACCAATAAACATGTACAACAAGCACACTTGACATAGTGTCTTAGGACCACTTTTTTTTGAAGTTCGAACTCATGACAATAATTCAGTTCCGACTCCACACATTCCGGAGTTGCTATGCCAAGCACATTTTAACAGCTATTGGTGTTTTTACTTCATTTCTGTTCTGTCAGTGTGCATGTCACAGTTGTACTGTGCATTATAGCAATGCATGACAATTACTTCTCTTTTCTTCTTCTCTTTTTCAATGGCTATGCAAGCGTACTTATGACGATTTGTGTAAACTGAGTTGCATCCATGGCGTCTGTTTTTTTTTGTGACAAACAAATTTTTTCTCATCGTCATTTTTTCTTCTTCTTGGCGTAGCATTTTCATAACTTGTACAATCTTGACTTTTTGTAAATGAAAAATTCACTTTTCAAATTGATATACACGTGTATGTACATATCTTGTTGTAGATTTTTCTTTCACAAAAACTAATCAATCAACATATACGCTAACAGTTTAAAAGAGATGGCTGAATGTGGCAGTGTCGAAGCACTCAAAGGTAGTTGGGACTATGTATGACTTCCTGCTCTCATATCATTTGCAATTCTATTCGCATTCTTTTTTATTTAGGTCGACGGTGAAAATTTCGACGCATATATGAAAGAAATCGGAGTCAGTATGATTATGCGTATGACTGCTAAAGGTGTCAAACCGCGTTTGATAATTAATGAAAATAATGGAACATGGACATTAAGAACTGAAAGTAGCATCAAAACATTATCCTATGATTTTGTACCTGGTGTGGAATTCGAAGAAACAACGGCCGATGGACGTCATGTCAAAGTCACTTCATATAATTGTTTCTGTCAATCATCAACTTGAACACTTTTGCTTTTTTTTCCTAGTCGACTATAAACTTTGTCGGCAACAAATGGATACATACCATGATCGATAAACATGGCAAAAAAGCGGTTGTTACTCGCTATATCAATGATAAAGATCAACAGATGATAGTAAGTAGAACATATGGCTCAACATTTTTTTTATCAAAACTCTCTTCCTCTATTCTAAAGGATATGGAAAGCGGTTCAGTCAAAGCTCGCAGATGGTACAAGCGCGTCAAATAGAAAAACTATGCGTTGTTTTCATATGAATTCAATTCATTCACATTTATGTAGTAAATGGTCATTTTACGTTTTAATAAAAAAAATGTTTTTGATCACGAACTAATGTCAGATTCACGATTAGATAAGTGTCTGTAATGCTTTGTTAAATTTTCAAAACATTAGATGCCGACATACAATGCTGTTCTGAATCTGTTCAACAGTATAGTTTCATTTTTGACCAATCTTATATTAGCTGTGCTACTGTTGATAATCTTTTTGCTTATGTAAAACGAAAGATGATGAAAAAGAGCGATGCAAATATTTTGAAAAAAAATCAAACGAAGTCATGCAAGGATATGTGCATCACTACACTTTTCATCATTGACGAAAAGTTCAACAGCACTAAATTTTCACACTGTCGATGTTCTAATTGCTGAAACGGAATGAAACGTGTGAGTGAATACTTATAAGAGAAAAAAAAAGGCATCCATGAGTGAGATTTTCCTCTTGTAATAATCTAGATCGATGATTCCACATTCTATATTCAAAAAGAAACTAAAATAGAAATGATGCATATTGAAAAAAGACCTTTAAACACTTTTCTCATTAAAATTCATTTTGTGTCGCTCAAAAATAATCTTATTTGAAGATTTTCTAAAACAAGGTCTAGTAAACCCTTCTTCTATCAAACAAGCTCGGTGAAATTTAAAAAGTATTTAGAATATGGGAACTGGTAAAGAGTAGTCTTTCGCTTTTCTAGACAGATTTTTCTATCTGAAAGTTTCTTTAAATGATGTATCCTTCAAAAAGGAAATATTTAAAAGTCTAAAAAATCTTTGCTGGGCACTAGTATCGAGCCAATTGCTAAGAAATATTAGCATTCGGTATAGCTGAAGAAAAAGATGTTAAAGTTGACTGTTGCTTTAAAGAGAGATATTGTATGAATAGTAGATTTTAACATATGGTGCGACTTAATCAAAACTACACTTTCAGTTTTTAGGACTTCATGCATCATTCTGTTGCTATCGTTTGTTTCGAAAATGAGATAAAAGGTAACTGACTCAAAGACTGTTTTGAGCATTTTTAAACTAGTTTAAGTTTGCGCTTTATTATAGTTGATTTGTTCAGATATATTAAGCAACAATTACATAACTTAATTCAGTTAGGCGTTAACTAATACAATGGTTTAGTAGTAGTTGGCATAATTGGTGTCCTTATATATTCCATGTAGATTTTAGGGGAATATCTTTAAAGCCTTTCTTTTTCTTCAATTAAAAATCAGATAAAAATAAAGTAAGTTTTCCTACACTTGCTTGTGTCGACTTTAGCATCAAAAGTTAAATTTATCTCACATGATCTTTTTCGATTTGAGTCTTATAAAGCATTATAGGCAAAAGTCTTTAAATTTATTTTTTTGTCACAAATCAAACGGCATCGACTTTCCTCCCATGATGATACTCATGAGCAAGAAAAGATACTAAATGCTATGAAAATATTGTGCCAAGTATAATACATGACCGTCTCTCGACTTTGTTGATAATCAAGTACTGTTACATTGCGATTTCTATAGCTGTTTATGAGCAAATTTTGTTTATATTCACTACAAGCATGTTGTTCACATTAACGGCTATTTACGACAAAGTACGATAGAAACCGATGATCATTTATGAAACTGTTTACAGTTGGTGTATGTGATGCACAACGATACTTGTAATACACCGTAGAACATCGTTTATGATTGCTGTTAACGGTCATCGTACACAACTGCTGATTTCTATTGTGATTGATTGGTATATGGTCGTGTACGACCAAGTATGATTAACCTGGGCCTATCTGTTCAAACTTGTGCCTAAGAGCACAGAATTGAACAATTTACGGGCTGCATCAGACAATGGAAGACTCAAATGAGACATGGTAAATTCATAGATAGAAAAAATTAAATCGACTCAACGAGATACATTCTTCTGATGAAATTTGAATGTGCTTTCACTTATAGGCTTGTCATTTACGATTAATGATTACAGCACAAAGTTTGTTGTTCCTTCATTTCCAAAGTTGAACAAGCAAGCCTGGTTTGCATCGCAGTTATTTAAAAGCGATTTGATGTTTTCCTGTTATTCTTCTTTTCCTATCTTTCATTCGCTCATTGAACGGAAACAACCGCTCATTTTAATTATGTGAAGGAATTCTAATTTTTTTTTCATTTCCGATGCCATTCTACTATTTCCTATATACAAGATTCAGCACATAATTTAGTAAAACTATTTCATTTGCATTTAACTTTCCCCAGAAAAAAACACACAAGTGAGTAGATAGAATATTGGATTGTTTTTTAACGAATTATTTTCTCTAAGAAGATGTGAAGACCTTCATTATTACTTTTTAGAAAGTTGATTAAGATCAAAGGATTCAATAGGCATGCCGAATGAAAAATCTAACAGATCATTTATTCAGTATTGAAGAATCTATAATGAAAATATAACACTGAAAAAATGCTAGTTCTTTATTCAGGAATATCCATATAGTTATACTGAACACTTAGTTTTAGTACTAAGAATAGTTGCAAAAATTTTCACAGTTCTCACGTCAATTTATCTTGAACATCAGCCTATCATACTTTTGATTAAAAGAATTCGATACTTATTGCACTATAAATCATGAGCAAGTTTTAGTATCGATTAGGAAAAATTATTGATAGCATCGGTTGAATTGTTCCAGTCATGACCGATACAATTCAGCATGTGGCTACCGTTTTTCCAGTTAATCATGACTCTCTGTTAGCCGGTATAAAAAGACAGCGACGTCGATCAATCATTCGAGATTTTGCACTCAATACATCGACGCACGGTTTACCAGGCATTGCTCGAAGTCAAAGTGTACACAATCGAGTCTTCTGGAGTGTTTCGACTGCAGTTTTCACGGGTGTTATGGTGTATTTTGTTGCACAATCGATCAGTAACTATTTTCAATATCCAAAACAAACATCCATCGATGTAATTGTCGAATGGCCTATCGTTTTTCCGGCAGTCTCGTTTTGCAACTATTCTCCTGTGCGTCAAGACCGTTTCTTTCAAGCATTTCTTGAATATTTAAGTGCTTTCAACTTAATAGATACCACGAATAATACTAACTTTACTCTCTCAAATTATGTAATTTATATTCATGATTTTTATCAATGGAAAATCAATCAAAATAAGTCCATGTACGACTTATATTTTCCACTTAGTTCCATGTTAATGAGTTGTTTTTTCAATGGTGTTCCATGTGTATCAACCGATTTCATTTCATTCGAATCGCCTTTGTATGGTGGCTGCTACACGTTCAATGCTAAGAGGAAGAATCTTCCTAATAGTGGAATTCGTTATAGTAATGAGGGCGGCAGAGATGGTATATTAGAATTGCGTCTTTATGTACACAGTCATCAATATGTGCCGAACACATCCGACGGTAAGAGATTTGTTTCTAGATGAAATTCTCAGTTATTTCAAATTAGTTTTTGATATTCATATAGCTGTTGGCATCATGATTATGGTACATGATAATACACAATTGCCATTGATTGATATTGCTGGTATGGCCTTGGAACCTGGAAGAAAGCATAAATTGAGTTTTACAAGAAAGAAAAGTTACTTTTTATCTCCACCTTACACACAATGTACTAATCAGATTCCATTGGCTATGCAAGCAATGTTCAATCTATTTCAAGATGCAGATTATGCCTATTCTCAATTAATTTGTTTTACGAATTGTATACAAGCGTATACGTAAGTTGTTGTATGTCGATCAATTCCATCTGAGACTATGACACTTTCAGATCAGTTCCTTTTCAAAAATGAGTCATCAATTCCAGTTGTTTGAGGAATCAATTACTTCTAAGTACTAATCAGCACTCATTGATTACTAACTCGAACTGATCTGGAACTGTCGTAGCCCTAGTTCTATCATTATTTTGTACATTGGATAGGTATCATGTATGTGGATGTGTTAATCCTAATCAATGGTTAGCTCGTTTTGCTGTTTTATTTGGAACTGACATTGTGGTGAACGCACCACTATGTAACATGACTGATGCATGTTTCACGGAAGCAGCCGATCGTCTGATGAAAACGTATGCCATCTGGAGTATGTGGTGTCCATATTGTCAACAGGAATGTAACACAACGACCTTCGGCATCACACTATCGTCAATGTCAGCGCCACGTGAATGGATGATGAATTCTATTCGAGATTTTGTTGAAGCCTCATCGGTTCCATTGCCCTCCGACTGGTCGACAGCATGGCATTCTCATATTCAATCGAATTATATTGCTATCGACATTGTACGAGGAAGTATTCAATTGGAACAGTTGACACAGGTGGCATCACTCAGTGGTGTTGATTTGCTATCAAATGTGGGCGGTCTTTCGGGTCTTTGGATAGGTATCAGTTTTCTTTCATTAATGGAATTAGCTGAAATGCTCTACCGACTTTTTCGATCTAACATTCATCAGATTCACATAAAAATACGACAGAACACACAAGTGACTCAATTCTCAAATGTCAACAATCACAATTGGAAAAATACAAATGCTTTCAATTGATTGAAATTTTCCTGTTTCTATAATTTACAAACAAATCTTTATATTTATAGAAAACATTTTATTGCAATAAATACCATGAAATTATTAAGGCACTCCTCCAAAACTCTGAGTTTTTGCATTTTATTTGGATCACGATCGTTGCTTTGTGAGAATGATAATTAAAAAAATATTCATCAGCAGAGGCAACTTGATTCTACTCAATCTTGTTCTCCATGACTTCCGGAATGTACATTAGTTGTTAATAAGTATCAGCTCCAATCTGCAATGAACTGTAATTGGGAAAAACATGATGAAGCGAATGAGAAACTTTCATGTCTTTTTTCTGATGAAATATTCTTCAGTGTCACCTTGACTTATCTTCGTTGTTCTGTTCGATTAAATGAATTACTGTTCACATCGATTCATGAAAAGATTTTTATTCGAAATCATCTTGTTCATCATCGGATGCCATGGTTTCAACATGGACAGATGCTGACAACAATCCAGGCTATTCGTAGTCCTGTAAAAGGAAGTGATACCAGAGAATTCGTTGAATCTTATCGTGTCATTATCTAAAATATTTTATTCCGAATCATTGATGAGTAGAACTTGTATCATTCGAAAATTCCAGATAGTTTTTGAGACTGTTCCTCCTTCACTTTGTCAAATATTGTTAAAATCTCTGATTGTACGTACATCAAAAGATTGATGATGTCATCCAACCAATCGATTTCTATTGAAATCTCAAACGAAATATAGAATCGTCTAGTTTGTCATGACTACACTACGCTGTTTACATTCTGCTGTTTGTATCTGAAGGATGGTCCATCTCAAAACAGGTAAATGCTGCATGAAAGAAATCGTTTTTCCTCAAGACATCATGGAAAGACAACCTTCATTCATGGCAAACTATTGAGAAAAGTCATGCGTTCGAAATATACATATTATAAGACACCATTCAATCACTTTATCTGACTGCTTGAAGACAAAACAGAGATATCGCACTAGGAAATAATCTGTCAAAACAACTTTTCAATTTTATTGCTGACAAATCGGTTTTCATGCTTTTATTTTTTCTTAAGCAACATTTCCACAAACAATAATGAAGATACTTGAAGCAAGTTTCAAAGGTTTATTGTTTATCATTGCTTCTTACTTCAATCAATTCTATGAGATTATGATCTAATAAAACTACAAGATACATTTATAATAAACGAAAATGAAATTTAATCAAATATAAAATTAGTTTATTTACAAGTATAAAAACTCATGTTCTATCTCAGTTAAATATACTTATGGATACTTTAGTTCTCAATTTGAAACTATCAACAAACGATATGTATTTAAAAAAGACAAAGATTTTTTATGCTTTCGATCAAATTTATCTTTCAACTAACCTACGATGCAAAAGTAATTGCCGAAATCTCCAGCCATAGTTCTTCGCTTAGGAACATCTTGGAAAATAATTTTTTTTTTATTGAAAAGAGCAATGTCTGAACTACAAATTTTGTACCAGTCATATTTTTCTAGAACGAATCTGAGAAGGAGGAAAAGTCAAAAATCAAACACCTCTAAAACGTTCTTGCAACTTTTTTTACAACTTGAAAAATTTGTGTTTCTCGATTATTTTACACTATATGAGCTAAAATTTCAGAAAATATACACCAAAATGTAGAGCATCAAAAACTGTATCGGTATCAATATTGTTTAAAATTTTTAAATACATTCTTGGCTATTTAATCGAAAAGATTTGAAAACCGAAATTTTTCTAAAAACGAGTGTTTTTTCCAAGGACTATCATTGTGAAAGAATATCAGCCACCATCTCCAGAAACAATATATGAAGTTGATTTCTTTTGCATTATTCGTTCAAAATATGTCAGATCATAGAAATTTAACTGAAAAAATAATTCAAAAAATATTTTTTTACCGCTACAAAACGGCTAAGTAGTAAAAAAACAACTAGATTATTCGATCTTTTTCAGAGAAAGCAACGTGTTTATATTAAAACTAGAAGCAAATTTGGCCTCCAAGATATGATTGGAACGAGCGTTCTTTAGACTACAAAAAACATCATGAAAAGAATTTTTTTCATTCTCTCCTGACATTAAAAAAAAAATAACAGAAATAAAAAAAATGATGTTGCTAACGGACCAAGTTGCAAGAACTTTTTTAGAGGTGTTTGATTTTTGACTTTTTCTCCTTCTCAGATTCATTCCAGAAAAGTATGGCTGGTACAAAATTTGTAGTTCAGACATTGCTATTTTCAATAAAAGAAAAATTATTTTCCAAGATGTTCCTAAGCGGGGAACTATGGCTGGAGATTTCGACAATTACTTTTGCATCGTGGGTTATATGAATACATGTTTTGTAACGAGTAGAAAAAGTAAATCTTGATCTATTACAAATGAAATATTATTATGTTAGAACAAGGTTAATAATTCGAGCATTTACATCTTCATTATTAATATTTTATGAATTTCATTCAATCCTATATGTCTAGTTGATATTTAACAAGAAGTTTATCATGACCATGAAAGAATGGATTACATCGTTAAAACAAAAATCAACACAACTTATAATAATCCATATTAGTATTTTCAAATGCAAATTATAGTTTTGTTCGTATAGAATAAAACTTTTTTCATGATTGGAAAAGATGAACGAAAATATTCTTTGTTCTTATAATTTTTATTTATGTCACACTCTCCTCATTCCTTTCATTTTTCCATTCTATATAACGATATATTTTATTTGAAGATCTGATATTTTATTTATGATATGTAATAATAGATATTTGATTATTTTGCTCCTGGAAAACTTGACATATCTTTTTAAACAATTATATAAAGGGTGTCCCAAAAGTACCTTCCACTTAAATTTTTTGCATATGTTTGCTATTTAAATTTACTTTATCAGCTATTGTTTTTCTAAATGATAGGGGATGAGCCTATTTTCTATTTTCAGAAAAGCTCATGGATGAAGTCTGTTCCAATTGGTGAAATTTTGGCGTGGCAAGATTCAATTCGTTTATATGAAGACGCATTCAAGTAAAATTCTATGAAAAGACTCGTTTAAAATTGAAGAACTCAAAGATCTGAACTACTCAATAACCCGAAGGGATCAAAAAAGAAATATTGCGTAATGGTTTTTTGGGAATAGAAAACAGGCTACAGTATTGTATTTCGGTTCTGTCTTATCGTTGAGCGTATTTCTAAAGTTTATCTTTATAAACAAAAAATTGGTGTATCTACCTATCATTTAGAAAAACAATAGCTGATAAAGTGAAACTAAATAGCAAAGATTTACGAAAAATTTAAGTGGAAGAGACTTTTGGAACATCCTGTATTTAAGATTAAAAGCACATATACGTGTTTGAAAATAGATCTACGGGTATTAGAGATCTTTTATTGGATTTGTTTGTGTTCCTTTACATAGAAGTAGCGCAAAAGTTTCAAAGTATTCAATGTAACAATAATCAAACTTGCATCTCGTTAAATAATCAAATGTAGCAATATGTTTGTCACTGTTCAAATGGATATTTTTCTAACAGATGTCCATAAGAAACTGCTTGTCTTACTATTCATGTTACAGAAACAATTGGTTTTGTATTCGTTATGAATATCCCTATGTTCTATACATTATAATCACGAAAACCAAGGCTTTCTTTCAACGTTTGCCTTTGCATAACTCCTGGAAAGCATCAAATTCTTTTATCTTCTTAGATTTATAATCAATTCAAATGTTACTTTTTTCTCTGCATCTATCTTAATCAAAACTTGTTGTCCACATATTAATGAAACTTAAAATCTGATCACTACGAATTTTTTAATGACTTAAACGAATCCAATTTTATCACAAATTTTTTTATGATGATATTTCTGTATTTGATCGATGAAAATCGAGGTTTCGAATGTTTTCACTTTAATTTAAACAATATCATAAAAATAATGCATGATGGATGCTTTCAATATGAATGTTCTGAATAAAGTAATTTTTCATGTGTATGTCCACAATGTATAATTGGTCTATTGTGTCGATTCAATATGTTTCAACAATCGTACTTGTATTCGAATAATGAAATTGGTAATTTCACTTCTCAGTGTAATGCGTATTCTCATGATCTGTCATTAACCATTTAATTAATTTCTGATTATTGATTCACACAATGATGAGTCATTTTGATTCATTCTAGAGTTCCATCACAGATGGTATCAGACGAATGATTATCATTTACCCTAAATTCTGGTACCCTGAATGTATCCCTAAATTCAATCCACATTTGTGGATAATGAAATCGAAAAAGTGAAAACTGGTAACCAAGTAGGGATTTTGAGTTAGGGATTTTTTGATTTAGGGATTTTTTTCTAAAGTACAATATAGCAGACACATTGTATCGCTAGTCATTCTCCTTTACTTACGGCACCCAATTATCTAAAACCAACATTTCGAACTTGCAAACAATGTTCCAATACGTCTGGTGATCAGTTGCATATTTTTGAAAGGATTTGATGTCTAGTGGTATATTTTTCCGAAGGATCTGGTGATCAGTTGCATATTTTTGAAAGGATTTGATGTCCAGTGGTGTATTTTTTGCGAAGGATCTGGTGACCAGTTGCCTATTTTTGAAAGGATCTGATGTCTATTTGTATATTTTTTCGAAGGATCTGGTGACCAGTTGCATATTTTTTGAATGCATCTGATGACCAGTTCGATATTTGTCGAAGAGATCCATCGAGGGGCTCCATATTTTTCCGAAGGATCTGATGCTCAGTTACGTTTTCCTTGAAAGTATCTGATATCAGCTTCACATTTTTCTCGGAAGATCTGGTGACTAGATCCATAGTTTTCATAAACAACTGAATAATCGAACAGTTCCATTCCTTGACTGGGACTTCTTACAGTTGTGATGACAATACTTCTAATATTCGAAAAGTGCTCAATAAGAAATTCCTAACAAAAAATCCCTAAATATAAAAATCCCTAAATCAAAATCTCTACTTGGTTACCAGTTTTCACTTT